CCATGCCCAGCTGGCATTGTGTTTCATTTTTGTTTTTTTTTTGAAACGTAGTCTCTCTCTGTCGCTAGGCTGGAGTGCAATGCTGCGAGCGATCTGGGCTCACTGCACCCTCCACCTTCTGGGTATAAGTGATTCTCCTGCCTCAGCCTGCCAATTACAGCCTGAGATTACAGGCACGTGCCACCATGCTCAGCTAATTTTTGTATTTTTAGTAGAGTTGGGGTTTCACCGCGTTGGCCAGGGTGGTCTCAATCTCCTGACCTCGTGATCCACCCGCCTCCGCCTCCCAAAGTGCTGGGATTACAGGCGTGAGCCACCGCGCCCGGCCCCATCTTTCTTCAGTGTGCCGTTCTGTGAATTCTGACAAAAGTATACACATCACCATAACAGAAACCAAAATAGCCCTGCCCCCACGAGTTTCTTCGTGCCTCTTTGTAGTAAATTCCCTCCTCCCACCCTCAGCTCCTGCGCAACCACAGATGTTTTCCCTCCCTACAGTTCTGCCTTTTCTAGAATGTCATGTAGATAGAACCATTATAGCATGTAGCTCTATTTTGGGTTGTATTTAGGAAAGCAACTTTGCTAAATTTATTTTTACCTACAGCAAATTTTGGTCAATTCATATGTATTTTCTAGGTATTGTCACTTCATCTTCCAGAAATTTTTTAATTTTTAATTTTTTTGAGACGGTCTGTCTCTGTCACCCAGACTCAAATTCCCGGCTCAAGTAATCCTCTCCCCTTAGCCTTCCAGGTACCTTGGATTACAGGCGTGCACCACCACACTTGGCTATTTTTGTATTGTTCTGTAGAGATGAGATTTTGCCATGCTGCACAGGCTGGTCTCCAACTCTTGGGCTCAAGTGATCCACCCACCTCAGCCTCCCAAAGTGTTTGGATTACAGGAATGAGCCACCACGCCAGGCCTGGAAGTTTGTTTGTTTTTAATATGGAATGCTTCACGAATTTGCATGTCATCCTTGCGCAGCAACCATGCAAATGTTCTCTGTATCATTCCAATTGTAACATATGCGCTGCCAAAAGTATTTTTTAATTCTTTATTTTTACTTATATGTGTGTATCTTACTTCCTTTTGTGGTTATAAGCAGCATTTCTCTTTTTACTTTAAAAAAAAAAAAATTAGAAACAGGGTCTCACTCTGTGGCCCAGGCTTAGCATCACTGAGCAATAACCTCTGGATCCTTCTGGCCTCAAGCCATCCTCCTGCCTCAGCCTCCCCAGTAGCTGGGACTACAGGTGCGATCCACTACGCCCAGTTGGTAACAATCATTTCTATTCATTAGGACAGTAAGGAGACAGGGAGATCCAAGTGAAAGGATATCTAAATGGAAGAAGTGGACTCCTTTATTCATTTTTGAATCTCAACTGCCAATAATACAAAAATCTGGTTGATAACCAGCTAGTAAATTTCCATTTTCCCTGATGTCAATTAGTGGTTACAAATTAACAGAAAGGTAGTGCCTTTTATATTTTTAACAAATTAAACCCATGAAAACAATCCTTGTTGAAATTTTTTTTTTTTTTAAGAGACAGGGTTTCACCACGTTGGTCAGGCTGGTCTGGAACTCCTGACCTCGTAATCCGCCCACCTTGGCCTCCCAAAGTGCTGGGATTACAGGCATAAGCCACCACACCCGGCCTTGTTGAAATATTTTTACAGGTTGGAATATTTCCAACTACTATGTGTATATAAAATTTAGTGTTTTTGTAAGTATCACTTAGTTTTTGGGCAATCATAGAATGGTGAAAATGCTCCTAAATATTAGTTTTCAAAATATTCTCTTCATAAAATGAGTTCCTTTAGAAAGGCAGTTACCTTCTAATAGTTAAAATGGTATCATCTTAAAAGGGCAGATTAGTGAGAGGTCAAGGAAAGGGCTCTATCATTTTTTTCTTGTGCTTGTTTTGTTATCTTCAATTTATGGTTTACTTACCAGACTCATTTGACAATCCTTTTTTTTTTTTTTTTGAGACAGAGTTTCGCTCTTGTTGCCCAGGCTGGAGTGCAATGACATGGTCTCAGCTCACTGCAAGCTCTGCCTCCTGGGTTTAAGCAATTATCCTGCCTCAGCCTCCTGAGTACTAGGATTACAGACATGTACCACAATGCCCGCCTAATTGTTTTTGTATTTTTTGTAGAGATGGCGTTTCACCATGTTGGCCAGGCTGGTCTTGAACTCCTGACCTCAGGTGATCCGCCCGCCTCAGCCTCCCAAAGTGCTGGGATTACAGGCATGAGCCACCATGCTGACAATCCTTAAATCTACCTAACCACACACAGATAAGCTGCAATAAAATAAACCACTGTCAAAATTGAGTTATTCTCACTTTTTCTTCATGGTGTCTGGTGTGCCAGCTAATGTTAGACCAGACTGTGACCATCAATCATTCTGATTGGTCAGTGGCTCACCACAAGTTTTGTGGGTTTTTTTGTTTTACTATCACCCCTGCTGAACGACAGGAATGCTATCTATCTGTATACTAGGTAGAACAAATTAGGATTCTCATATCAAGCCGTATTTTAAATATTAGCAAAAGCTAATTTTTTTTTTTGTAAGATAAAAAATTAACATACATAGAAATTTTCTTCCCTATCCTTCAATGGAGGCCTGTGCACACTGTCACACATTCTATCTTGGAAGCTACTGGCGTGACAATTCCAGGATGGTCCAGAAAGGCAGATTTTGGTTCACTACACAGAACCGTCTTTCAAGAAGTAGAGATTTCCAAAAGGATCAGCACCCCTAAGTAAAGGATTCCCCAAATATTGGAAGCAGAAGCCAGATGAATGGCTGGATGACGACTCAGCTGAGATGCAGAAGCAGGGGTAAATGGATGGGATTCAGTTACTTCCAAGATCCTTTTCTAAGAGTTCTTCAGTATTATGTTAAAGACTAGAAATGACAGGTGGCACCCGTGTTTCTATGCATAAGGAAACTAACAGGTAACAGACAACTAGACTAGTAGCCAAATAGACGTACCATCAAGCTGAGTGACCTTGGGTAAATCATTTCATCTTCCTGGCTGTGTTATTTCATCTTCCTGGCTTTGTTTTTTCATCTGTAAAAGATGGGGCCAGAATTAAATAACTTTTAAGGCCCCATACAGCTCTAATATTCTGGGGTTATATGACTCTGCTTCATCAAATATTATGTTGGGTTCTAAAACATACCCTTTAAAAAAATTCTTTATTATTATTTTTTAGTTTCTCTGAAATAGAAAGTATATTTGAAATGCCTTTTTGGTATATATTATAGTGATAAAAGGTTTTATTATTTCTTATTCGTGTAATGTGTTTTGTAACTATTACATCAACTTTGTAATTCTGGAGTTACATGGGCAATTATTTAAAGTATTTCTCTTTTCAGTTTTCTCAGATTTTATTCAGATTTTTGCATCTATATTCATAAAAAATCAACTATATTATCATATCACCTTTCTCGCATCATTTTATTTTTTAAAATGAAAATTACTTCATTAAATGAGTAGTGTCTTATGATCATTTTCTATATTTTGGGAGTATATGTTCTTTGACAGTTTAGAAAAGTCTCATGAAAGCTTTCATGAGCAAATGCTATTTTTACTGGTTATTCTTAATTTGTGGGTTATTTCTCATAACCAAGCTGGAATATTCTCCTTTAAGTGTCAGTTTTGCAATTTTATATCTTTAGAAGGAGCTGGGCATATATAAATCGAACTTTCAGCTGCAAACTGAGAACTCTTTTTCAAATCTAATTGATTTTAAATATTGCCTATTCAACTACAAATTTACCAATTTGTACTTTTATGGCAACACTTTACCAATTTAATCTATAAGAACTACTTAATTTTTTTTTCTAATTTGTGTCATTCATGCTTAATTTTATTATTTCCATTTTGATTTCTTTCTAAATTCTACCTATATATCCCTTTAAAAAAACAAAAATATTTCCNTGATTCAGATCTTACAATTTTGTTTTTGGAGCATTTTTGATTTCAAATTATTGGATTAGGGACCCTCAACCTTATTAAATTCAAGAAAGGCTCCCCTAATACAGATATTTAAAGCATGATTATTTTCTTATAGTACTGCTTTGGTATTATCACATTCATTTTCTTGCACAGCATTTGAACATTGGGTATTTTAAAAATATTATCTTCCAGCACATCCTCTGCAATGTAGATGTTACTTACTGAAGTATTTTTTCCATGTTGTTGATCACTGTTTAATTCTATGTATGTTGTTTATTTCTATTAAAAACAAACCATCAGATTATGTATACGTTTCCACCTGTTCTCACATTTCTGGCTACTTTTCTTTCTTGTATTTTGTTATGATGTTCTCTAAAGTTGATTAAATTCAGTACAAATATGTTTTCATTATTTAATGTAAATTTTATCTTATATTTACTATTAAAAGTTTGTGAAAGGTATTAATATTTTATCACATACAATGTAGGCAATCACTTCTTTAATATTTGTTCCAGCATGAAGAAAACTTAGAGCATCCCTTCATTTTAATTTTTTTCCAACTTAAGTACTTCTTTGCTTCTTGCAATGACTGGACTTAGCTTTGTTTACTAAATGAGTGGTCTTTCTTTTCAAAGGTAAATTGAGTCAATCTGTGTTTAACAATACTGTAATTATTAATACATGTTCATAGAATTAATACATAAATTAATGCCTTTTCAGATCCTTCATATCTAGCTTTTTAACCTTAAGTTAATATCCATATGTATGAGAACTAAATGTAATTTGATATGCTTAGTCAACTTGATGATTGGACAATAACAACATGAACTACATTGGATTCACTGTTACTTCCTCTTTGTTTTTGCAGTGAAAACAGCATTTTCTATGTCAGATTTCTCTCAATCCCTCAGTAAATGAAGACCTAACTAGAACAATATACAGTCCCATTTTAAATTCAAACAAAGATATTCAAGTTTGACAACAGATTCATGGTAATGTCATTTTAAAAGATAGATCCAATGAACACAGATAAACATCAAAGTCTTCACCATGGCACAACCCTATGCTGCAATCACTCATAATAATTCAACTACCTTCATATTTGGCAGTAACGTCATACAAGTGAATGTGCTGATGATTAGAAAAATTACAAAATGAAAGCCAAGGTCACTTAATCAAGAATTACAGCAACAAAGAAATCCTAGGAATGCAGGTCAAGGCAAGCGGCGGCAGCTGGCCTGACAGTGATACCATTTGCCTAATGTTCATTTAGGAATTTGCTATCACAAATAAAACCTCTGAGTTACTAGAACAGAAAAGGAAACAATCAGGTATTACTTATCACCATTATATGACCATGAAATTAAGATATTTCCTTAATGAATAAGAGAAAAAAAATCATTCTTGTGTTTATAATAGAAGCTCTATTTCTGACTTTAAAACATTACTCAATATTTCCTTAAGTACTGCAATGTAGACAATACAGCCTTTTTTTTTTTTTTAGTTGAGACGGGATTTCGCCATAATGGTCAGGCTGATCTTGAACTCCTGACCTTGTGATCTGTTCGCCTCGGCCTCCCAAAGTGCTGGGATTAGAGGCGTGAGCCACCGTGCCTGGCCTGACAATATAGCTTTTGACATATTAAAAGTTCTATGGGAAAACTCTTTTAATTTTGCTTTAATATCAAACTAAACAAAGCAGCTGAAAAAATTCAATAAGAGCATGGGTTAGCCCAATTCAAGAAGTACTTCCAAAATTCAACCACCTCGCTTCTTTTTAGGAGAAACTGTACATCAACACAAAACTTTTCTAACTAAACTTTGGAGAAGAAAATAGAAAACCAAACCCAGAGCACAAGGTTGTGAAGGTATTTACTCCTCGGCATTAGGCAAAGGAGTGCTACAGCACTCTTACATGTCATTCTATTTCAACAGATGATTCAACTGGTCCTGTAGATCTGATGACTGTTCAACACTAGAAATTAGAATAGAGACAGGGTTTCATTGGAAAGAGCAATAAAGACATTTTTGTAAAAACTATTTTTAAAAAAGTTTTTTTCATTACAGACAGGGTCTCGCTATGCTGCATAAGGCAATCTTGAACTCGGGGCTCAAGCGATCCTTCAGCCTCAGCCTTCCAAAGTCCTAGGATTACAGGTATGAGCCAGCCACTACACCTGTCCTATACAAGCTATCTGTACTTTAATGCATAAATATTGCTGCATGTAAATCAAAATTTATATTGGTCCAGTTGGGTCCCAGAGTGTCTAAAGTCTGAAGGAAGGTTTGCAGGTTTGTAAAACCCATTAGTAATGTAAACAATATTGCAAGGGACAAATTTAATCCATTTTGAAAAACAAGGCTGTTTAATGGCTTTTGCACATTTACTCTGCTTAATGAATATTACCAATGTAAAAGGTTTTCTATTCCTTAAGGTTGGTCTCTATACCCTGTAACTTTTAGAAAGCTTTACTATTAATAGCAGTGAGTTGAGTTACTGCATGCCTTTGAAATATGCTGTATTCTTTAAATCCCAAGTGAATATCCCAGAGAGTATTTCAATTTGAGGGCATATGTCAACCACCAGAGTTTTGTATTGATCCTGGACCCAGCAGTCTAATTTCCCCCAGCCTGCTTCAGTTGGTTCCTTACTCCTCTACCTTTGGGGTTACTTACTTCTTCTGAATAGCTTCTTGCCTAAATCAGAAAAGGAAAGAGGAAAATAGACATAAGAAAATCTAGTGAACTAGTAGAAGTTTCACTTGTGACCAGATACATGCAGTACAGGCAGAAGAAATTTCAGCTTATGTCACACTTTGTATTTCTGTCCATCCTATCCTAAGATTGTGCTATTGAACAAGGATCCCTATCTAAGTGCAGAGCTGCTGAAAAGACGGACTCTAAAAGTAAACAGATAGTAACACTCTCCCAGAGTGAGAAATGTGGTCCAACAAACTAAATGCATGGCTTAAAATTAGTCTGCATATATGGAATGAAATGGTCACATTCCTAATATGTAGATACCCAAAGAATGACTATGACAAACATTAGCTATTTAAATATCAAAGAGTGAAATTCCTCTTTCTCTCTTTCTCTCTCTTTCTTTCTTTCAAGTCAGAGTCTTGCTCTGTCGGCCAGGCTGGAGGGCAGTGGTGACCAATCTCGGCTTACTGCAACTTCCGTCTCCTGGATTCAAGCAATTCTCCTGCCTCAGCCCCCCTAGTAGCTGAGATTATAGGTGTGTCCCACCATGCCTGGCTAATTTTTGTATTTTTAGTAGAGACAGGGTTTCACCATGTTGGCCAGGATGGTCTCAAACTCCTGACCTCAGGTGATCCAGCCGCCTTGACCTCCCAAAGTGCTGGAATTACAGGCATAAGCCACCATGCTCAGCCTAATTTTTTTTTTTTTTTTTTTGGAGTTTCACTCCACTCACTGCAACCTCCACCTCCTGAGTTCAAGCCTCAGCCTCCTGAGTAGCAGGGATTACAGGTGCCCGTCACCACACCCAGTTAATTTTTTGTATTTTTAGTAGACATGGGGTTTTGCCACGTTGGCTAGGCTGGTCTTGAACTCCTAACCTCAGGTGATCTGCCCTCCTCGACCTCCCAAAGTGCTGGGATTACAGGTGTTAGCCACCGTGCCGAACCCTAACCATATATTTCTAATAGGTACATAAATATAATATCAAGTACATAAAATGTAAAACAACATGAAATAAGATGAAAAGCAAATTCTAATGGAGAGGAGGTCTCTTATATTTCAAAATTCCCTGCATGATTTATATGTAGCAAGTACCACAGCTACCTACATACTATGTAAGATGCAGGTACGTTACACTTGATTTCCTAGAAGAGGAGCTGACTTCCCAGGAGACACCTTGGGTACTGTCATCAAATACTGACTAACTGCCTCATTGGTACCAAGTATAGTGCTAGCATGGTCCTGGCATGGGCCCTGCCTTTAGGGAGTTTACAGTCTCTCTGAGGAGGCCTCAATTTAACATGAGGAGGTTCATAAAAGGTGGACTCTGCTCCTGATTCTTATCCCTTATCCCCACTTCTTCTGTAGTCTCAGGCATCTTTGCCATGGAGAAAAGTCATCCTTGGCCACCCCCACCTTTACTCCCACTCCGGCCTCTATAGGAAAGCGCTAAAGCACAAAGGCCATGAAAGCAGACTGGGGATAACGATTTTGCAGCGAATAGTTGCTGGAGGGGGCATACTCACTGGTATTGAAGATGTGTTGTTATGATTGCCATCTTCCTTAAACTCTGCATGAAAAGAGAGAGAGAAATAGAACATTCCACTTCCCTGCGGCCCTACAAACTATACACATAAAACCCAAATAATTTTTTTTAAAAAGTTGTTTCTTACATCTTCTGAGTGCAAGATGGCATCTTCCTGTAGTACCATGTTTCGAGCTGCCTGACCTAGCAGCTGGAAGACAAAAATAAAATGGTAATAATCAAAATTCCCAAACTTCCTGCAATCTTCTCTCTGCAGCTGTTACACCACAACCCTCTCTCCTCTCCCACTCTTCCACCCTATACAACCACAAACACTCAAAATGTAATGGAGAATAATTTTCTATTTGTTCATGTTGAAAATTCGTTTCACTGGCACTATGGCAGTTCTGACATGGACTCAACATCTGTTCCAAAGGCCTGAGAAATCAAGTGTTTCCTAACTGCTGAGCTGTTGGCACAGTGTATTCATGAAGTGCTAAGAGAAGTCTGCGAAAAACTTTGGCTCTACAAGTCCAGTGAGAGAACATGACTCCTGACCTTTAAAGGCAGATTTGAGATTTGGGGTGGTTTAAGAATGATAAAGGAGCAGGAGTTAGAAGGCAGCTGAAAAGGACAGAGGAATATAGCTGTTTAGAAACGGAATAAGGGAAGGCCAGGTGCAGTGGTTCACGCCTGTAATCCCAGCACTTTGGGAAGATGAGGTGGGCAGATCACTTGAGGTCAGGAGTTTGAGACCAGCCTGGGCAATGTGGTGAAACTCCAGCTCTATCAAAAAATATAAGTTAGCCAGGCATGGTGGCGCATGCTTTTAATCCCAGCTACTTGGGAGGCTGAGGTGGGAGAATTGCTTGAACCTGGGAGGTGAATGTTGCAGTGAGCCAAGATCACACCACTGCACTGCAGCTTGGGTGAGAGAGCAAGACCCTGTCTCAAAAAAAAAGAAAGAAAAATAATAAGAGAAACAGTCAGGGGTGCAGGGGAAGCCATGAAAAGAAGCTCAGGGCTTAAAATGGGGAACTACCCCATAAAAGATGGCCAGAGAGGGCTGGGAAAAAGAAAAGAAAGGAGATGTCCAGGTGTGGTGGCACGCGCCTGTATTCCCAGCTACTTGGGAGGCTAAGGCAGAAGAATCACTTGAACCTGGGAGGCAGAGGTTGTAGTGAGCTGACATCGTACCATTGTACTCGAGCCTGGCAACAAAGTGACGCTGTGTCTCAAAAAAATAAAAGAAAGAAAAAGAAAAGAAAGGAGAAATGTGCAGGCAGAATTTAATGAGGTCACTGAGTTTAATGGGTACTGAGACCAAGAGCAAAAAGCAGAGCTCAGATTCAGCTGAGCAGCCTACAGTCAAGACAGAGCTGACTGCATTAGCACTGAGAGGCAAGCAGAAACCAGCAGAAATTTCTGGCTAATACTGCACCCTGCTCCTGGCATACCTAAATGCCACCAAGTAAAATGAGCTACTGTTATGTGTCTCCTACCAGTCCTTCCCTGTTCTCTTGGGTCAGGAAGACTCTGGTGAAAAGGGTGGTGTGACTTCAGAGTAACTAGGATTGCCAGATTCCTTCCCCAACCCAGGGCCGCTTTATTTATTTTTAAGTTTTAAAGTTAGTAAACCTTTCTGGACTTCTAAAGTCAAAACAATAAAATAGGACTTTCCATCTCTATCCCTTTCTTTCCCTGTTCTCTCCCCCACATGCATAGCAATTTTTTTATTTTCATTTTTTTGAGACAGGGTCTCACTCTGTCATCCAGGCTGGAGTGCGGTGAAGTGATCTTGGCTCACTACAACCTCCACATCCTGGATTCAAGCGATTCTCCTGCCTCAGCCTCCAGAGTAGTTGGGATTATAGGTACACACCACCACGCCCAGCTAATTTTTGTATTTTCAGTAGAGACGAGGTTTCATGGTGTTGTCCAGGCTGGTCTCAAACTCCCAACCTCAGGTGATCCACCTGCCTCAGCCTCCCAAAGTGCTGGGATTATAGGCGTGAGCCACCATGCAGGACCCCATACATAACTATTTTTATTAGTTTTGGGGTTTTCTTTCCAATGTTCCTTTTTAAACAAAGGACACAAGTATTTATTTTCCCCCATACAACCTTCCTACTTACTATGTGTACTTGTTCACACCTTGCACATAGTCTATCCCTCTCTCTCTCTTATATATATATATATTTTTTTTTTTTTGAGATATCATCTCACTGTCACCCAGGCTGAAGTGCAGTGGCACCATCACTGCTCACGGAAGCCTCAACTTCCCGGGCTCAGGTGATCCTTCCACCTCAGCCTCCAGAGTAGCTGGGACTACAGGTGCACACCACCATGCCCAGATAATTTTTTGTAGAGACGAGGTTTCACATGTTTCCCAAGCTGGTCTTAAGCTCCTGGGCTCAAGTGATTTGCCCGCCTCAGCTTCCCAAAGTGCTGGGATTACAAGCATGAGCCACAGAGCCCAGCCTACACCTTGCTATTTTCACTGCAATAGATCCCTGAGGGTTATCTCCAGCAATACATATTGAATCTTCTATTCAGCTGCTATCTCTTATTGAACCCACTGCTCTTTTACAACTGTAGAGTACCACATTCTATAGGTGACCATAAGATTATTCAATCAGGCCGCGTGCGGTGGCTGACGCCTGTAATCCCAGCACTTTGGAAGGCCAAGGCGGGTAGATTACGAGGTCAGGAATTCGCGACCAGCCTGGCCAAGATGGTGAAACCCCGTCTCTACTAAAAATAAAAATAAAATTAGCCGGGCATGGTGGCACACACCTGTAGTCCCAGCTACTTGGGAGGCTGAGGCAGAAGAATTGCCTAAACCCAGGAGGTAGAGGTTGCAGTGAGCCAAGATCACACCACTGCACTCCAGCCTGGGTGACAGAGTAAGATTCGGTCTAAAAAAAAAAAAAAAAAGATTATTCAATCAGTTCTCTGCTGGGGTGCTGGGAGATTTGGGAGCTGTTCCCAGTCTTTCCCCAAAGTAAGTAGTGATCCAAAAAATCCTCATATCTTATATCTTATGTCACAGCTTTTACTGTTACAAATATCCATAATCTTTGCATCTTTTTGCCAGCATATGTTTGGGATAGACTCACAGGACTGTGATTGTGATTGTGGGGTTTGAATTTTGCTACTTATTGCCAAATTCCTCTCCTTTAAGACTGTACCACTTTGCATTCCCACCAACAATTATGAAATGCCTGTTCCTCCTATGGTTACTTTTAGGGGAAAACTTCAAACTCCTATAGATGGGAGATGGTGACTTACAAACCAATGGCAGGAAAAAAAAGGGGAGTTTCTAACAGAATCTACTTCATTCACTTATTCATTCAACAAATATTTATTGAGTGTTTAACATATGCCCATACTCTAGTTAGGTGTGATAACCGAGCTCACAATCTGGAGTGGGTACAAAGGAGACACAGGCACTTAAATCATCTTACAGTAAGTGCTGATGGGGAAGCACTGGCTGCTCTGGGAGCACAGAGTGGGGCAGGAGTATCTAACCGATTACAGGGGTAGGTGTTCAGGAAGGGTTCCTAAAAGAAGAGACTTCTAATCTGAGACTTAAAAGCTAGGGTTTAGTCAGTTTGCATGAGAAAAAAAAAAGTTAGGGTTTAGAATTCATCTTGTGTGTATAATTTTAGAGGAAAATGGCATGATTCCTTTTTCTGTTTTAGAAATGCAGTAAACAGGTGGACTACAGTGGGGAATGCGGCAGAAAGATTGGTCAGGAGGACACGGCAGGACTCCAAGCAAGCAACAAGGATGGCCTGAAACATAGAAGCAGCGGAGAAAAACTAGAAAACAGTCTCAATGGGAGTTGTGTTTGCCTTGATGCAGGGGCTGTTGTCATGTAAAGCCAAGGCCTTTCCTTGATATATTCATTGGCAATCAGCATCACTTTCCTACATAAGCCAACCAGACACGTAACACACCATCTGGGATTTCTAGCTTTGCTTTCTTTAAAATGGGAGAACATTGGTCGGGCACAGTGGCTCATGCCTGTAATCCTAGCACTTTGGGAGGCTGAGGCAGGAGGATCACAAGGTCTGGAGTTCGAGACCAGCTTGGCCAATATGGTGAAACCTCATCTCTACTAAAAATACAAAAATTAGCCAGGTGTGGTGGCAGGTGCCTGTAGTCCCAGCTACTCAGGAGGCTGAGACAGGAGAATCGCTTGAACCTGGGAGGCCAAGGTTGCAGTGAGCCGAGATTGTGTCACTGCACTCCAGCCTGGGCAACAGAGC